AGAGAAGAATGAGTAACAACTATGGAGGAGAACAAGAACCTAAAGAAGGAGAGATTAGAGCTGCAAATGCAAATAGAGCTGCCAATGTAGGAATACACACCAAAAGAGAGGCAGAGCAAAGCAAAGGCTGTGAGCCCTTGAAATCGTCGTCGTAAGCCCTTCAACTTGTCGTTGTTAGCCCGTGAGCTCGTGCCCGTGAGCAATGTTCACAGCGGAAGAGCAAAGACGTGAACCTTGGGCAGGGTAGATGCGTGACTATGAGTGAAAGAGAAGAAGAAGAATAGAGCGGGGAGAGCAAGGGGGTTAGGTTTCTAAGGTGTTTCTGATGAGAGAGGGGAACGTTTGACTCTAAAAATTTTAACTTACCTGCGGCGGTTCAACATTAACCGCCGGAGAATAATAGAAAATTGCGTCCATTTACTAAAACCGCTGTAAGTTATAACTAAATAATAAAGCGGTGGCGATTCTTTAAAACTGCTGCAAAATTTGTGACGTTATTCCTTTTTTTTTTTTGGTGTAGTGACGCTTGGGGTTATTTTAGCTTCTAACTGTCATAGTTTGTTACCGTTTAGAGACATTCAATTTCAAATGCTAACTTTTTTATTTTTTTTATTACAAATAAATTTATTTATTTTAATTATAATAGTTTTACAATACATTACGTTTGAGTATCTTGTATAAGCAACCGGTCTTAATTAAAAAATTGCTCCATCCCTTATTTTCGGATAAGGAGCGGTACTAAAAAGGAATATGAAGGATCGTATTAAGAACTTTCATTACTATTGCTCTTATAAATTGAGATATTTTGAAATAATTACTTTTTAGACCAATGAAAATAAAAGGTACCATTGGACACAAAATTTAATAGATTTGTTGAATTCTCATATTTGTCAAAGCAATGAAACTTTAGTCAGAGTTGTATAAAGTCATCATTTAAAATGGCAAAATCTTTTGTAATAGAATTTTATCGTGCTTTTTTATCATTGTTTTTTTTAAGGATTGAACTCGAATATTGTTAAAATAATATGACATTGAATTTAATATATTAATCACTTTTATATAACTTTTTGATTTACTTTTATTGTCTAAACACATAAGTGAACACATGATTTCATAATTGAATTATAAAAAAAAATATTGTAAAAAAATTTGACTCACTCAAAACTAATTGTGAGACCTAAACAATAAAATAATGATACAAAAACTTAAAAATTATTAATTTAAAAATTAATTATACAAAATATTAATCTTGTATTTGATTCCTATTTGTGACAAACCTCTTCAAGGTATTTTCTTTTGAATATGTGAGCAATCTTTTTTGGAAGTTTGATAAATACCATATAGATATCCATCTTCTTTCGGGTTGAATTTTGTGTGTTTGTAATAGTTTGAATTTAATTTGAGACCACTCGATTAAATGACACAGATTCCTTACTAATCGCATCAATCTAAGATGATATTTATGAGCATTTGTGAAAGGAATTGCTTGCTAAGGTACTTCAATGAAGCAACTCTCTAGTTAGAATAATTTAACATGACAATAAAAGTTGCTTAAAAAATTTTAGTTCTTTCAATAAACAATTGTTCGTTATTATTAGAAAATAATATTTTGGACTCACATAACAAGAAATTGTTATAAGTTTCTTGAAGTTCCTTAGAATTACTTCTTTTAGAGTAAAATTGGGTATGAATTATTTAACAATGACATCGAACAGATGACTACTAATTACATCTTTAAATATACTAAGTAACTTGTGTAAATTATTCTCAATGAAGTTAACATATATCTTGTAAACTATAAAAATAAAAAAAAAAAGATAGCAAGCTTTCTGATGGCATCCTTGCTAGCATTGATGGATTGATTGATCATGAGATATGACAAGTGAAATTTTGAGTCCATGAACATGTGAATGTGTGACATGCATCATATGCTTCTATGTGATGGGGTACGATACGGAGTACACCGTTAGGGAAGGCCCTTCGGGTGAAACATCTCAAAGGAGTCCTAGGAGATAACGTGATTTGGAAGGCCCAGTTCTGCCCATTTGTGTGCGTGGGACATATCTTGCACGGTTTCGCTATCCCGATGAGACCCTAGCAATACATCCTTTTAGTTGAGAGTGCACGGTTGAGCCGACATGTACTCCTAAACTACTCCAGGTATGTTGCTTTGACAGCATACACTAGTACAAAATATGAAATTTATGTTACTGTATTCTCGTCAAACAAAGAAAAATCTGACGTTAAAAAAATACGGTGGCATTTTTTAAATTATAATCAAGTTTTTTACTTCGGACCTCATAGGGGCTGGCTTAAATTTGAAAATCTACATTAGATATAGCTTGTGTCTAACGTAGATTTTCCAATTCACGTCAGCCCTTATGAGGTTTGATGTAAAATATCTACAAATTTCCCTTGCACCATTTCCTTTCCCCGCGGCCTAAGATCTTGGAATTATATATATCTTGAGTGTGCGTGCAAAACGAGTCTTCTGAGTCAATATTTCGTTTGAGTGCATTGCATCTGAGTGTACGTTTGGGCGTTTGGGTGGTTCTTGGCTTTTTGACCGATTGCATTGGGCTCACGTTTTAGGTTAGTTTGGAAAATTCTTTCTTAATATATTAGCTAATTTGTTGAAAATAAATGTATGTATTGATATATTAATATAAGAGAGACAATGGAGCTTCTACTTGAAGACTGAAGATCAGGTGTACAGTTTGTCAGCCTTGTTACCTAATAGAGTACGCAACTGCTCTAATGGGTAAGGATACGAACAAATACACCTATCTAAGGGAAACAACGCAGAAGCGCCAACACCAAAGAGACGAAGAAAAGACCCGAACAAAATGTCTACGTCTTTACTTGCCTTTGGAAAAGCAACACATTACTATTCCAAAGGACAAGTAAAGAGGGGCAGCTGTAGACACCCAATTTCGTCTGGGGCATACAAACAAGGAAATGGACTCTGTTATGAAAAGAATTAGAGCTCCCAAGCATGCAAACAACAGGACAAGACATTAGAAGGCCTAAAGCTCAAATACATTGGTTTTAGTGGCCCGGAACGGGTTGTTCCAAAATCGGAACAGGTCGTTCCAAGCCACAAAAAAGGCCTAAAAACCTAGTCTGGAATGGGCCGTTCCAAAACTAGAACGGGCCGTTCCAAACCAGGCAAAAGGCCTAAAAATAATAGGCTGGAACGGGCCGTTCCAAGCTCCTAAAAAGGGTTAAAAAACCTTAACCGTAACGGGCCGTTCCGAGATATTAAAATGGGCTAAAATCTCTTATTTGGAACGCCTGTTCTAGTCTACCAAATTGTGTGTTAATCTTATCTCTGGAACGGGCCATTCCAATTTCAGAACGGGCCGTTCCAGTTACAAAATTAACACATAACGGCCAGATCCAGAATGGGCTGTTCTGATTTTGGAACGGGCCGTTCTGGACCCTTTTCTTATGCCTATAAATAGACAGCTTGGGCACAATTCTCAGGACCCTAAAAATTTCGTCCAAGACTCCTTAGAGCACGAAATTTCTCTCTCTTTCTCTCCTATTGTATTTCTTGAGATTTGTGAGGCATATTGTAGTGTGAAAGGTTTCCATAAAGCACCTTCTCCATATTTGAAGATTCAATAGAGCTCGTTCAAGAGGTATTTCAATCAATCTTTTTCTATATATTTTATTTCTTATCTTTATCTCTATTTTTATTTACAGCAAACGCAATCATGTAAATATTTTAGAGTTAGTCGTATAATTTATATTTTCAATATGTAAATAAATATTAATAAAGGGGATTCAATATTTAATTTATTAATTCTTATCATGTTAACTTCATCATAGGGTACCGATTGAGGGCGTTGTAGGGGTGCTTAATACCTTCCATAC